GGCGCCGTTTTTATACCCTGCCCTTGCAGTCACCTGGATCTCACGTTGGACTATCAGGTTGGCGAAAGTCAGCCATCATCATCTCGAACGCACCTACTGTTATTGTGCTACTAGTTAACCTACTGCACCCCATTCTCGACTAAAAGGCTTTTTACAGCAATACATCCTGAAAATGATCATAAAATAAGTCTAATAAAAACATTTATCAGTTCTCAGTGTAAATTACCTGTAATGATATGAGCTGTAACTACACTGTGGTCTCTTATTTGTTTGGTTAGTTGACGGTGGCGTAGAGGTCGCTGGGATCAGCTGAGGCTCCAGCAGAAGAAGAGGAAGCTTTCACGCTGCTGTAGGTCACTGCATCATCTTCATCATCACCATCTTTACCCAGAACCTGGAAAAGAGACAAACAGCACAACACAGAAATTACACAACATTAAATGAGAGAAGTGTTTTCATTCACTGCCATCATCACTAGAACCAATCAGACAGCTTACCCGGCCTTTACCGTTGGTCTTCCTGGTGTAGCTGATGGAGGCGTAGGAAACACCATCTTCAGGATCAGCCTACACAGAGAAGACAACATAATGGCTGCTCAGTAACATGTGGACTTGATTGTGTTCTGGTCTGTTCTGGTGTCGTCCAGCTGCATCATCAGACTCCCCACTTCTTCTCTTGCGGAAACAACTTAGATTCAAGAGTCACTGTGTGTCTCATAGAGCTACATTTTGAACAACAAATCTAAAAACAGTGAGTGTAACTTTGTCCTGGGTGTAGTGTGAGATCTCACCGTGTCCTGACTGCTTTCTGGACTCACTGCAGGGTTTAAGCTCCGTCCCTGAAAACAACAAACAAACAGAGTCTACTTCCATGTGGTCAAACACTGGCTCTGTGAAGGCTGTTTAGATTTGGATGACTCTGTCAGAGAGCAGCTGATTCAGCTCTGTCATAACTGTAGAAACATTTGATTACTCAGCCGTAAAACTCACAGTGTTTTCATCCATCTGGGTTTTTTTTTCCTGAAGAGACAAAAGAGAGTCGACTTTAGCTTCAACAATAAAAATCCAGTTTCATCAAAACTTCTTGTTTATAATATCTGTGGTTGCTCTCACCTTTAGTTTTCTTCCATCTGATGAATCCAACAACAATAACAACAGTTATTAAGAGTGCTGCAACTGCAACAAACCACAACCAACCTGGAAAGACAATAAAACAGGACATCTTATTGGCTTATTCTTTAAACTTATTGAGTGTGATGTTGGAGGGAAAACAAACATATGACATCATAAAACCAATGTATTCCAACTGCAAAAACCCAATCCACCAACACGTTCTCATCTCAGTGCTTCATTACCGATGTTTTCAGACAGCGTGACAAAGCTTAATTATTTGATGCTAAATGTACCCTTCAGCGTTCATATACAACGCCACCGTTTGCTATGTCACAACAACACAAAGGCGGCTAACCCTACAGCTGTGCACATTGCGGTTGACATGCACAGCTGTAGGCGGTAGCGCCACAGCGTCCACTGTGTCGACTTTTGCCGGCCGAGCAGGCTAACTTCCAGCTTAGCCCTCCGCTAACGTGAATGGGGGTAAATTTGAATACGTGCGGCTGTTGTAGACTTTTAAAATGTTGTTTACAGGATTGGATCACATTCTGATAGTGAAACGAGTCACTTTGCTGGATTGTGAGGGTCAAATATATTGATCCACCGTGTTACAGCCGTTGTTTTGTCCGCTAGCAAAATTTACTCCAAAGCACGGGGTCTCTTCCGATCAGCTCGGCGGCATTACAAGGCTACCCAGCCGACCAATCACAGTGCTTACTGTCCGTGTCGCCTCGATGTGTAGTTACATTTTTGGTTAGGCAACGGCGTACAGGGCTACGCAAAGGCTACGCTGCCGATTTAATGCAGAAGTATAAATTGCACTTTAGCTGGTCGACATGCATAAAGTCAGTGACTTAGGTTTAGGCTCAAACATTTCTGATGGTTATGGTAAGGGTAGGGGGCTTCAGGGGCCCGTCAACACCTTTAACTTCAACGTAGCTATCTAGCTAGCACTTCTAGTATGTACGAGATGCCCCAGAGCGTCTCATACAGATCCGGATATCTGGAAGCTACTCATAGAGATGCACCCGGAGCGTCTCCCAAATAACTATGCTTTGACACTTTTTCTGAAAGCGTCGTTATTGGACGTTATTGGAGACGAGAACGGGCTCAAATAACCTAGAAAAATCTGCAACACCTGGCCTCACACTGCATGACACACAGATTAAATGCCTTCTATTTGCAGATGATTTCATCCTTCTATCCCCAACATAAATAAGGACTCCAGCAGCAGCTAAATATCCTGCATGAATTCTGTCTCACCTGGGCCCTGACAGTAAACCTCAAAAAGACAAAGATCATGGTCTTCCAAAAACGATACAGACATCAAGAAAACAAGCAAAAATTATATTTAGACACAACATCTATAAAATTACACATATCTGGGCTCATGAGCACAACAGGAAACTTCAACATGGCTGTGAAAGATCTGTGGGACAAAGCAAGGAGAGCTTTCTATGCCATCTGAAGAAATATAAAACATGATATACCAATAAAGATCTGGCTAAAGATTTTCAAATCGGTCCTGGAACCAACTGCCCTTTATGGGAGGTAAATATGGGGTCCACTCAGGTCTAGGTTTGTAAAATGGGAGAAACACCCAACTGAATCTTTTCATACAGAATTCTGTAAGAGCATTTTGTATGTAGACAGAAAAAAACCCCAAACAACGTCGGCAGAGCAGAACTAGGCCAATACTCACTGATCCAAATCCAATAAAGAGCTACCAAATTCTACAATCACGTTCAGACTCAGTGATCAGAACCTGGCCATCGAGACGGGCCGCCAGAGACAAACCTGGCTTCCTAGAGAGGAAAGGATCTGCTCACTTTGTACATCACAGGAAATAGAAAATGAACAACACTTCCTCACAACATGTGAAAAACACAAAGATCTAAAATTACTGAAACCTATCCTGAATATGAGACCAAAAATAATAAAGGAAAACTTCCATACCTACTAGGTGAAACACAAAGATGTGAAATAATTGCAGCTAAATATACACGTACATGTCAAAACCTGAAGACAACCAGAGGAACACAAATATGAAACCATCATACCGTTACTATAGCGACAATGTTATTATTGTTATGGTTCTTTGTTTGTTTTCTTTTACTGTTGCTTTGGTAATATGAACATTATTCTTTCATGCCAATCAAGCCACTTTGAAACTGAAAATTGAAATTTGAAAATTGAGAGAGAGAGAATCAATAATGAATTTAGGGCTGTCCCCAACTAACGATTGACATGGTCCAATCAGAATTGTCAAGTCTTGCCCAAAGTCGACTGATAGTGGAATCAGTGTGTGTTTGTGCACGGCGATTGTGGGGGATTGCAGCCTCTATCATCATTAGTCAGTGTAACTTACATTGTACATTTAACGTTACAGATAAACTGAGGCTTGCTGTTGATCATTTCCTCTCAGCTCTGCTCGCCGGCCTTTCACCGGTCTTATGCAGAGTTTTTCATGCGTGCCGTGCGGCCTACAAATGCATGCACGTTGCGGTTCCTTGCGGGTCTATTTCAAGTACTATTTAAAAATCATATAATATTCTATGTGTGTTTATCAATGGTGATAACTGATTCGAAAGTTGGACAGTTGAATCAGACTCCGCCCATCGAAGCATTAAACCTTTGACTATGTGGGGTCAGCCCTAAATAAATTAATGAATAATAATTTCTTGATCACTTCCTATTTTCTGTATTTTACTATGATGAATGGCCAGTTTTGTCTTTTCAGAAAGTGACCTAATTAAAGAAGCTTTTATCTTTTGCCATAAAAAACACCAAAAACTAAACCTGTACAACAAACAAAAAAAACATGAATAAAATAATGAAGTTCAGTACAGGAAGAGAAAGAGGCTGACAGGAAGACAGAGAGACTCCAGAGAAAGATGAGTTACTACCTTGTGATTTTGTGTTTTCAGTTGTTGTTGCTGGTTTCGTCGTTGTTGTTGTGGTTGCTGGTTTAGTTGTTGCTGGTTCAGTTGTTGTTGTTGTTGCTGGTTTAGGTGTTGCTGGTTTAGTTGTTGTTGTTGGTTTAGATGTTGCTGGTTTAGTTGTTGCTGGTTTAGTTGTTGCTGTTGTTGCTGGTTTAGTTGTTGTTGGTTTAGTTGTTGTTGTTGTTGTTGTTGTTGCTGGTTTAGTTGTTGTTGTTGCTGGTTTAGTTGTTGTTGGTTTAGTTGTTGTTGTTGCTGGTTTAGATGTCAGAGATATTGCGAGAGAAAGAAAACAAGAGTAAAGTTCATCACTGTGAAAAGTCATCAAATAAACAAATGTTTTGGTGGTTTTAATCATCTTGAACAGGGGTGTGTTTCCCAAAAGCATCGTTGCTGACTGCGGTAGCAACTTCCTTGGTTAAAACCCTAGTTGGAACTACGGAGGTAACTAAGTTGGTAACTTACACGGTACGAACCATCGTTAAGCGACTGTGACACCTACAAATATGTTGTCACAATTGTTAAGATATTTTGTGTAATAGCCTGTAAAAAAGGGGCATAATGTGAATGTATTTTCACGGGGTTTGAGTAGTATTTCTGAGGGTGTAATTGCTTAACGACGCCACAAGAGGGAGTGTCCTCTTATGTGAGCGCTAGTAGGGCCGCCAGGTAACAGCCTGCTGAACGACCACAAGTCACATCTCCTGTCTCTGCACAAAACAGGTTAGTAATGTGTGATATTTTGCTGCAATACATCTCTATGGACTTTTAAAGCCCTTATTATGTTGTTCTGACAACGTTTGATGTGTAAAACAGTGGTTTATTCAGTTAATTAAAAGTGTAGCTAGCACCTGTGTAGAAAGTGTAACCAACATGGCGGCCTTCCGACGTTTGTAGTGTTTATGGTCATTGCTCCTGGACATTGCACTTTTCTTTGTATTTGCTAAAGCTAAAGGTTGAGCTACGATTATTTAAAGTTTGTTGAGTTGAGGATGTGTCAAGTCCTGCATTCAAGTCCTGTCACCGTAATAATACTGAACAGTGTAACATGTTGATAAGGTTAAAAAAACGTGTCTCTTGTATAATGTAGGCCTCTGTATTGTTTTTATATGTTGTATGTGAGAATGTTGTGGAAGTGTGAAACAAGTAGGCTTAACAGTATCAAAGATACTGGATCTATACGATTTTGGAGCTAGTAAACAGCAGTAAGTGTGAGTTACAGTACCAGCTATTTCTGTTGAACTGATATATAATTTGTAAAATATGTTATTCCAGTGGTTTAATGCATTAACTTCCATTCTGTTAGTGGGAACCTAAAAGTGTAATTTGTTAAAAGGAATGTGGTCAACGTGGTTTAAGTGAAGGAGGGGGAAAAAAGAGATGAATTCTGTAATAAAGACAGAACAACCCGCTGCTGAACGATCACAAGTGACATCTCCTGTCTCTGCTTTTCCTCTACAAAACAGGACACAATATCTGTTCACAGGTAACTCTTGCTTGAGGCCTGTAACACGACACAACTGTTTCCTAAAACCCTAGTTGGAACTACGGAGGTAACTAAGTTGGTAACTTACACGGTACGAACCATCGTTAAGCGACGCAGGTGTTCCCTGAAACCATAGTTCAGACGAACGTTCGCACCAACTGTTGTTAAGTTGCATAGTTGGAACTACAGCTCCTGACCTGTGGTTAGAAGCTTAGTTCACGGTGACTACGTCACAGAGAGCAGAAAATGCAGTGTTAGGAGGTGGATGTGATGTGTTTTAAGCAGGGAATGTTAGATAATCCTGCTGTACAAACATGTTTAAGGTGAATTTAAAAAAACAAATGTCGTTGTAAAAGTACTTTTAAATGTATTTGTGGGGTCATGGGTAGGGTTGCATTGATTCAGTAGGCTACTAAGTATCTCAGTGTAGACCATCTACAAACAGCAGGTGTTTTTCTCACAGATTACCCGTCTGCTCACAATAACTTAATTTAATATTAGTCACCCAGTACAAAGGTTAAAGGACAAAACGGAGAATGTAAAGACAAGACTTTTAATATTACCTACATGTATACGTTTCTGGGCCTCTGGGGAAGATGGGTCTTCATTACAAACATAAAAAGGGACAGCATAAAATCCATGAAAGTACTGTAATGAATAAATCCCTGAGAGTTTTCGTTGCCTTTATAACAAAGATAAATAGAGAACTCACGGGAGTCGTATCTGTCTCAATAGAGAACATGCGTAAGCTCAGACACTTAGCGCACTGAGCTGTTCTCAAAACCTAGATGTCAGATGCCAAGGGATTCATAATAGTGTTACAGTGTTGACACAAAGATACTAAACCTGTTTCACTAAATGTCTTGTAGACGCTAATAGTTCTTAATTTTTTCTTCTAAGTTATAGCCGATATTTAGGCTAAATAAAATGATTAGGTTATATATTATTTATATTGTTGATTTCATTAACACTATTGTTGATTTTCTTGTTGTTGCCGGTACGACAATAATATAAAAAGCCTAAATAATAAGTTAGTAAAATAATGTCACTTAATATCGGTCACAACTGACATATTTAGGCAGAATATGACGTTTTGTGAGTTTCGTGCTGTGAAAGTCAGACGAACACACCTGGAAACATGTTAGTTCGAACTACGTTGGCTCAAACTAATTAGTTCAAAGTATGACAGTTTAGAGAAACGGTCGTATTTCAGATGTTTGTTTGTGTAACGATGCATCGTACCAACATAGTTCAACGTTACCTTACGTGGTTGTTCAGGAAACACACACCAGCTCAGCATATTCTCACCTGTTTTCTCACCTGGCGACTGAGGGCTGAAGGTGAACAGCTGCACTTTTCCAGAGTAATCATCTGTCACTTCACAATTCAAGTTAGACTTTGATTTGTTAATAAAATGAGAATCCAGGAAAGACACAGCGGCATAGCAGTCAGCCTGTGATGTCTTCATGTCTTTGTTATCTTTGTCCACATCTTTACCCTCATACAGCCACTTCACTGTGTGTCTACACCATCCATGTGTCGACACAGAGCAGTTTAACGTCACCTCATCAGCGTCCTTACGTTCAGTCACTGGTGAAGATGGAGATATTGTGAGAGAAAGACAACAAGAGTAAAGTTAACTTCATCACTGTGATCATAATTATTGTAATGTTTCAGTATATTGTTCTAACAAGACAGTTTGAGCTGAAAACATTATGATGGAAATACTCACTGATAATAACAGACAGATGAACCAGAGAGTATTGAGCTTGTTGTTGTTTTGATATGAACTGTCTGCAGGTGTAACGACCAACATCCTCGACTGTGACCTTCTTTATAACCAGAGAACAGTTCTCTGTAACACTCAGTCTGTCTGATTTAGATTTGGCTTCATTGTGAATCTGTCCATGTTCAAACAGCGTTACTGCTGATCTGCTTCCTGAACCACTGAAGAGCCATGTAGTATATTCACAGTTTTGCTGACCGTCTATCACATTTTCACAAGGCAAAGTGACGTCATCTCCAACTCTGACAGTGAAGGAGAGGGGAAGTTTTTCAGCTGCTGCTGTTGAGAAAATGATGAAAAATAAAGTGAAATGAGAAAATGTCTGTTATGTTCATAGTTAGTGACGATTATTTCTCTATCCTTAGTTTCCAAGAGTTCACTAAACTCACCACATTAGAAACAACAGATTTGGTTTTCTTAGTTAAATCAAATGTAGCTAATAAAGAATCTTTAATAATATTGATCAAGTTATTTTTTACAATGTGCCTTCCATTTATATATGTGATATATGTATTCTTACCTGTAAACTGAAGCACCGCTGGAAGAAATAAAGAAATCCATTTGAACTCAACCATCATGATTCTCTGAGTCTCTCCTTCTTCTGTCTCTTGTTCTCGTGCTCAGAACTGTCTGAGTTTCTAAACTAGTGCTTTAGTAGAGAGACGCTGCAGCTACTTCCTGTGGTTAGGATGATGTCACTTCCTCATAGTGACTTTTAGTCTGTTTTAGATTTCAGTCTCTCTGAATTTCTTGTACAATTTTCACTTTTACATTTTTGAAATGTAGTTTTCTCTCATCCACAGTGACTGACAGAGACCCCAAATTCTTGATCAGCAACATGAGATGCAGCCGTCAGAGTTCACACTTTGTTCATTCAGGTCTATTTGTGACAATGACGTGTTTCACCAAGCGAAAAGAAGAAGAAGAGGAAGCTGAACGTGAGAAGATTGTTAGTTAAGATAAATGTTTGCAATGATGCAACTTGTTTTCTTCAGCTAGTGTTTATTAGAAAACAGACAGGATCCATGGTGATGTTTGACAGCACACATGAACAGACAGGTGAAGAGTCAAACTCCTCTCCCACCAGAATCTGACTCCTGATGTCCATGGTGCAATATGGTGATACTGTAGCAGCTGCTGAAGAACACAGATAAGATGATATTTTACTGCTCTGAGATCTGCTGGTTCCTCATTTTATCTTTGCAGCTCTTTTTGTTCAGAGATCTGAAGAGGAAGTGTTTCTGTTTGAATGTGGTTAACAACAGCAGCAGAGCTCTGGAGGTTTGACCCTTTAATGATGACCAGATAAACATCAGAAACACAGGAGGTTTTCTTCAGGCCTTGTCCCTGTTACCATTTTCCTTCCAGCAGGTCGGCCTTGTCCTTATAATCCTTGTTTTTCCTGATGACGAGAATACTGTAAACTTTAGACAACCACTGCATCTCATCTGTTTGTTTTTTGTACCTCTCTCTCTCTCTGTGCATGCTGGGAGTCTGGTGTTGGTGAGTGTGGCTGAGAGTTTGTGAGTGAGACTTCCTTTTTTCCTCCTACTGTGTTTACTGTGTGTGTTTGGGTGTTTTTGGTCGACAGTAAGCTGTGTTTGTTGGAGGGGATGGCGTCCTCAGAGAAGCCGCCCCTGTCTCTAAAGCATGGGGTGAGGGTGGTGCTGCAGCCCAGCACCACGGTGGATCAGGTCCTGCTTGCAGTAGGAGAACAGGTGGGGAACAGAAACATCTCGTGTGCCT